AACTTTTGTTCCTTTTTCGACTTCCAAAAATTTGTCTTCACTTTATTTGCATATCAATAAACAGGTTGTACTTAAAAACCTGCTTTCCCCTCTGGTCTCTCAGTCACTGACGAAAGCTAGTGGATACTAGCTGAAACGTCTGACGTTTTCAAAATCATATCCAGTTGCTTGAGTAACTGTTTTTTGGCGTATCGTATTACCTGGATGTCTAACCTTCATCGACGATGTACATATTGTTCCACAGGTGGTTTAAAAGAAGCGAACTATTCAGTCTCGACCTTCAGTCTCTTCATATACCACGACTTTATGTCAGTTTTGCTACGTTGAAAGGTATCTGGTAATTTCCAGAACCGATTAGACCAGCTGAAGTAAGCCTTGTTTTGTTGTGTGGCTTCAGTCAGTTTTGGACGACTCTTGCGAACATTGTTGCTAGGTGGACGAGACCAAATATGTTACGAGAGGGGGCCTGTTTTTTGTGAAAACATGGTGAGGTCATATCAGTGTACTACCGCGGTATCCTCAACCCCGCTTTAGAATTACTTTTTAGTTTAGCTTATGACAATTATATGTATTAGTTAGTGTTGCTATACTGCTTACATATCGCTTTATGTGAAGAAAACTTTTGTGCGTGTAGAAAGATGACGATGAAAGTTTTGCCATGTTACTGAACGTATACCTTTTCCTAAGGCAAAATTGGTTGAGAGTTCAGAATGTGCTTTGCTGAGCAAAGTTGAAAAGTTTAAACATACAGACTGAGCACCCAGCAGAGTAATTACGGTGTTCAGACTTTTTGGTAGAATCACTATGCAAATCAAATTATGCATCAAAAGATGATATATTCAATATGTCAGGCGAATTGAGTTTTTGGTGGAAAATCTGCTAGCATAAGGTGCCAAACAATGTATTTGGGAGAAATTTTTTGATTGTCAATGAGTGTAAATAGTAATGTTACGGTTATCGAAGTGTTCAGAAGGCAGCTATCGCTATGTGTAACATTTGAACTGTTCTACCGCAGAAGTAGTAGGATAATAGACAGTATGTGACGAGCTACTTACCATTGTAATGTAGCAAAGCAAATGAATAAATATCGAAGTATGAAACGAATTCACGTTCAGTTTTTCATTTTCTTCTAAATTCTTAGTTTTCAACAATACATGGATGAATGGACAAAAAGCTAAGTAATGCCTTAGACAGTTTGCAGAACAATTCTATACAGTAGTAATTAGACAGAAATAATTCTAATTCAATAATTCGGAACTTTTTTTTCTTCAAATTTTGTACATTTCCAGGTATTGTTTTTCATCATTGATTTTTTTAAAAGTTGGACAGAGCCGGAAAATTATTCGGTACATAACGTTAGTTAGTATCTATGAGAAACCCTTGCTTGGGTGCTGGACTGCTGGTATAGGTTTGTGGACTTTTGTCGTATCTCAACCCATGGGCGAAACTGATAGAAGGTGACATTTCCGGGTTCGGCGGTTAAACGACATGCAATGGTAATTAGAGTTAAGGCCATGTTGATTTGATTATATGGATGACATCCTCCGGGAGCCCCAAAACTGATGCGCGCGTGCGAATAAAAAAAAAGTTTTGCAAAAAAAAGTTGTTTTCATCATGAAATCTACGTGGTCATGAGGGTTGAACAAATGGGACAGAATATGGTTTGGCGAATGATCTAATCTCTAAGTTCATTTCCTTACAATTTCGTCTTTTTTCGTTTGATTTTGGCATTCTACGACATTGGTATAGTTTTTACTTATTTTTTTGTAACTTACGGTATATTTTTGCTCATTTTGCAACTGTTTTGTACGATTTACAGTATGGTTGAAAACTTTTTTTTTTTTTGAAACGGCCGAAAATTCATGCGCGCGCGGATGTCATCCATATAATCAAATCAACATGGCCTAAGACTGGATAGGAAGCTTTAATCGATGTCAGATTCTGATAGGCGAATGGCCTCCGAACCCTTTGGTCTGCTGTCCGGTCAGTCGTTTTATTCCCGTTAAAGGCGTCACCTGGCGTCTGTCGTGTGCATTACAGACAAGCAATTTGGCGGCTCATTTCAAAAAGTGATTGAACCTCCTTTGTCAGTGGTAAGACGAAGCAGGCATGGTCAGAGAAGTGTGTATGCGCTTGAGGATCCCAGCTAAAAATTTTTACTCGAAAACAACCGATTTAAATTGGTCATTCATTTTCCAACCAACCAACCAACCAACCAACCAACCAACCAACCAACCAACCAACCAACCAACCAACCAACCAACCAACCAACCAACCACCAAAGTGGACCAGCCCGTTTATTGTGGTATAGCTAAATTTAAAAAAGGAGGAAAACAAAACGGGAGAAACAAGGGTTTTGACTAGTGTCTTTCTTTTTTTATATTCATGCAACGGTACGGAGACTTAGACAAGTGTACCAGTCCAGCACGCCCCTGTGTAGCGGTGAGTGTGCGCCAGTCCGTTCCCCTCTGACCCCCAAAGTTTGCTAACGGTGAGAGCGGGAGGTTTGTGTGTGGTTCATCGTGCTGGCAAGCAGCGGGTAGGGCTTATCCCGGACTTCCCTTCACCACCAGTAAGCATCGTGGGGAATTCCAAGCAGGAAATAGCGTGCAAATCTCAAGGAAATGGTTACGGTATGGTTGCAGGGTCCTTGCGGAGTGCTTGCGGGCCTGAGACCGAAGAAACTGCGGGCGCTCTGCCTCCTTCTGGCCGCGGTGCTGCAGCAGGCCGTCTGTGAGTCGCCGGCACCAGCCGAAAAAACTTCCCACCAGAGCAAAGCAACTCGTCTGCTAGCCGAGAGAGTAAAGAGGTAAGGAACGCTTTCATCATGAAAATTCCTTTATCATCTGTCGAAACTAACTTTCAGTTGGAATGGAACTTTTCGCGTTTTTGACCTTTTTAAATGCCCTCTGGGGTATTTTAATGACGCTAAGTCCCAGACCAGGACATCTCGCCTTTCCTGCGGTCTATTTGTCATCCCGAAGTCAAGTTTACCTGGTAATCAAGAACGTCTGCCAAGCCGATCTGGTTTCACTTACCCGGCCCGGCTTTCATTTATCACACCAAGTGGATTTCAACATAGAGTTGAACAAAAGTTTATAAAGTGGCCCACATAGCCATGGTTATCGAGTTAGAATCACACAAATAATTAGAAAAAAATTAAGATGTTTGAAGCTCTTCTGTTTTATTACGCGTCATGTTTGCCATTGTAAGACGAGTAATTTAGTTCCTTGATTTTGCTTTTCTAAGTTGACATTGTTTGTATCAAGTTATGTCCAAAGTCTCAAATGAAAGTGACTCCTGCAGTTCCACACAAGCTGCTAGGGGGCCCAAACCTATACCACTTATTCACAAGACTAAAAGCTACTGCAATACCATAAAATTAAAAAGCTGCCAGGTGATCCAGAATCAAACTTGTCCTTCGTTTTGCTGACACCCACCCACCCACAAACCAAATATCATCCATCCAAAACTTCTTGTGTTTTTCTGTTCAAAACAGACCCACAGACATTTATCTGATTCTGAACCATAACTTTCTTGGCAAATGTAAAAATCATTAAAAGAAACTGAAACTGTAACATGCTTTAAGTACTTGAAGTCGATGCCTACTTTAATGATTTATGTGCTACCCACCACAGCTAGGCAAACATGAGTTTATATACACTTTGGGACTGGGTCAGGCAGGGTATCATTTCCTAGCAGCCTAAACCAAGATGTGTTTTGTCCACAGAAGTTTCACAGGGTCTGTAGTTTTTCTACAAAGCCACTCCCTCCAGGCTTTACATCTCCAGCCGTTGGCTCTGATGTGGGGAGGTAAAGTTTCCCCACTTTGTCTGTCTGTTTTAACTGGAGACAGGAGAGGAAGGAAGTCTGGGATAAACAGGTTCTCCAGGAGTCTGCCGGCCCCAGCTGTGAGGAGGGGAGGGGGGTTTGGCGGATACCTGTGGTTGCTTTCCAGGTATTTCTGGTGGGAGAACATTTAGTTGCCGTGGCAACAAGGTAAACTCCCAGATAGCAAATATTCGGTAGCATTTGCTTTCACTGTTGAGAACAAAGAGGATGGAGAGGGGAGTGATTGCTGAAGGGTTTGCCTGGGGAGATTTGTTTACGTTGTACTGGTGGGGTTCCTGACAGTAGTCCACTATTCACATCTCAAAATAAACAAACTGGCCTGTCTGAATTACAGTGGCAGAGGCCATGACTGCTTCTGCCTGGGTTCTTGCTGTCAAGTGTTTCCAGATCTGTCCCTCGGGACATGCAGGATGGCTGCTGTTAAGACCTTTCAGTGAACTCTACAGTGTCCTTCTTAAGTTCATCTTCTTTTGAAGGACAAGAATGCTGACTACGTGTGAGAGTGGTTAGACCATACCAATTTACCAGTAGTTTATTGGTTTTCAGATTGAGATATTTGGAGAAAAATGATATGGCAGATAAGTCAAATAGAAATGAAATTAGAAAAGATACACTGATATGATCTCATTGCACTTTTAAAACATATTTGGTAAAACCATATTATGGCACTTCAAAGATGCCATTGTTAGAACAAGGAGGTTAGAAGCTTAGATAGAGACTCTCTAACCTGTTTGTTCATAAGTATATGTAAGGCTGTTATATGGCTGCAATGTCTAATCAGCTTTGTTCTTAACACCAAACTGCCACTTTCAAATTGTAGAGATTTATTCTTGTCCAGTTTGAACAACAGTTTGGGTGAGGTTAACATTGATGTTCACCACATACTTGTGAATAGAAAATGCCAATAGTCAACAACTCTACTTTACACAGCATTCTTTCTCACTTCTCTATATGTCAGGCTGATGATAGTTACCTGTGTGATAATGTACGCATTGTTTTCTGTGTGTTTGTGTGTATGTTTGCTTGTGTTCATAGACCACAAAAGGTTAGACACAGAAAGTGAAGTCAAGTGGTCCCAGAAGCTGGCCATCTAGAAACTCACAAGAATGAATTATGATAATAAAACACAAGTCATTAAACAGGTCAAGGTATGTTATAATATTATCATTAAGCCATTAAAAAAATACATCAC